AAAAATTAAATTGTTTGGAAACGTCAAGAATTTTAAAAGTGCCTCTCAGCGGTTCTACCTTACTATATTTTTATCATGGCAAGAACAACAACTTTTTGACAATTCAAATCGTTAACATTTCGGTGAAATATGATTTTTATCGATATTTTTGTGTCGATCAAAGTTTATTTTCATTTTATTGTGAATGAGTTGTGCCAAAAATTTTTATCAGCTATTTTTCTCTAATTGGGCATAATTCATAACATTGTATAGGCTTAAGTGCGGAACACAATGAAGACAGTGGCTACAGTGCGCCATCTGTCAAATTATTAATACACATGTTCTTATGGAAAGCATTATTTTGAACGCGACTGAGCAACATTGCGACGGTCGACAGCTGTAGCTGTCGCCAGATTAGACCTATTTCTATTTTGACAAGCGACAGTGTGCGCTCTTCTTCTTGAAATCACTCAAGCGTGACATTTGCTTGACCGCGTTTTCTTTTTCTTAAGCGTTCTAAATGAAATTTAATTAATGAAATACATTTAAATACAGATTAAAAATGGATTTCGAAGAAAAATTGATCGAAGAAATTAGAAAACAGCCGATACTCTACAACCTTGGTCTTAACGATTACAAGAATTTAAGAAAAAAGGATTCAGCATGGAAGGAAGTGGCTTCTGCTATGAAATGTGATGGTTCGTATAATTTATTACCATATAAGCATTTCTTTAGTATAATTATAACTTACAATTGTAGAAGTTCAATGCAAGAAGCGCTGGAAAGGTATACGTGATTGCTACAAACGAATAAAAAGATCGCAGCAGCTTGCTTCGGGAAGTGGCGCTCCAAGTCCTAAACGTAAGTGGCGCTATATGGAAGCAGTATCTTTTCTGGACGAAGTGCAATCTTCCCGAAGGTAAGGAAGTGTAATATTAACAAAGCGCGTTCATTTAAAATCTGTGTGAGTGAACCTATTTTAAAATATAGCTCAGTTGGAAATGTGAACGAAATTGACTTGGAAAGCACTATAGAGGAATTACCGCCTTTCACCGAGATAAATTCAACAGAGGTTTCCACTATTGAGTCTCCACGAACCAGTTCCAGCTCGCGCAAGGTTCGTATATTGCATTTTGTTGGGACCGGTTTAGTTATTTGTACAACGAATTTGGGTTGCCGGGCCCAAATGCGTGGCCCGAATCAAAAAAACTTCACACGACCTTGTAGGCAAGACTCTACGCTTTATATGAAAAGAAAGTTATTTACTATATCTGTGCACTAATTTATTAATAATTCCGCCCCTCCCCCTCCGCCACCCACCAAAAAATCGTTGTACAAATAACTAAACATTTCCCTTTTTGTTAGCTTTCGTTGATTTTTGAAAACATTGTGATTCATCAAATAATTTGAATTCACAGGAAAATCAGCAAAAATTCAATGACTTCTTGGATCACGCTGCGCAAAGCATATCTATGACTTGCGCTGAATTTAGTAACCAAACTAAAGAACTAGACTCCACTTCCCTCCATTTTCAAAGTTTAGCCAACAAAATAAAGGAGTCAGGCTTGTCCATGAATGCCGTAAACGAGATTGAGGCGAAAGTGTCTGCTCTGGTTTTTGCGGAGATGCAGAACTATTCATCAATTGAATTTTAAAAATTTGTTTTGCAACGTTTTACCTAATACATTCCAATAAAAGTACAATCATATCATATCGCACACGATCTACAAAGGTGACGCAGCTCAAAATAACACGTTTGCCAGAAACTGCGAAAAACGACTTTAGACTTTACCAAAGGGTCTTTTCAACAAATTATAACAAGAATTTGCTCCAGCTTTTGCTCAAAGGTAAATAAAAGCTCTGCGTACATTTTTAGCGCATAATTTCAAAAATTCCAAATTGTGAATTGTGTCACTTTTGAAGATCGTGTGCGATATGTATTAAAAAGATCTCAAAATGGTTGTACTTGGTAATTTAAATTTAATTATTTATGTATACCCTTGTCTTCGGCTAATTAGTTACGTTTTGACCACATTTGGCAATATTACTTTCGTTTATTTAATGTTTTTTTTTTTTTATAAAAATCCAGAGCTTATATCGAGAAAAATTTTAGGTATGCAGTTTTATAGCCCATTCCATTTTTTAATATAAGGTGCAATTTCAAGACGCTGAAAAATCGTGTTGATTTTTAATATTTTTTTTTGCTGACGGTGGTGGGCATTTTCTTCCGTATAAAAGAAATTTCGTCAGCAAAAAAAAATTATTAAAAATCAACGAGATTTTCCAGCGTCTTGAAATTGCACCTTATACTAAAAAATTGAATGGGCTATAAAACTGCATACCTAAAATTTTTCTCAAAATTTTAAATAAGTTTGAAATTTTTGGGAAAATTAGCAAA